GCTGGCCGCAGTCGCTAGGTTAGGTTGGGGACTTGGGGAACGGACGAGTGGGGGTTGGATCGAGTGAACGGGATGAGTGTAGCCGGTATCCTGTGTGGGCTATGGGCTGTGGGCCGTTAAATAAGACATGTATTAATTTTTTGGGGCCAAACCTTGGGTATTCATATGAATACACGTGAATACCCCTGGCGCCGCCGATGGGTTGAAGATGTAGTTTGACTGTGATTTCCCCATTGTAGATGAGCTCGTGCGACTCCTTTTCCATGGACGATTCCTTGTTGGATGAGGAATTTGATTTCACCGAAGAAGAGGACATTGCTATGCTAGTGGCGATGCACAAGAGGAAGAAGCTGAAGCACGGCAGTTCCATGTTTGGCCATGACACTAGTAGAAAAAGAACCTTTTATCCCGGTTCTAGAGGGCCTTTAGTCCCGGTTCTGGAACCGGGACTAAAGGGTCGTTACTAAAGGTCCCTCCCTTTAGTCCCGGTTCTTATACGAACCAGGACTAAAGGCCCTCCACGTGGCTGCTGCCTAGAGGTCTACCTTTAGTCCCGGTTGGTAACACCAACCGGTACTAAAGGATTTTTTTTGAAAAAATATTTTGAATTGTTTTTTGAAATATTTTCCCGATTTTCAAATTTCTGAATTGTTTTAACATCTAATCTCTAATCACCCCTCATCACTGCTCAAGTTAATCTCTAATCAGGCCTCATCATTCCAAATCATCTAACTTCCCGGACGGTCACCCATCCTCCCACTCCCTTAGCCTGAGGGCACGCTTAACTTCCGGGTTCTATTCTCCCTCGTTTTCAAGTTTGCACTTGTTGTTTTCCTCACAATAGTAAGATGTCAATCCTATTAACCCTCAGGAGTTTATCTTGAGCATGAAGTCACAAATTTCACTGTTTGAGTTTGAAACTATTGTTCTAAAAATAATAATTATTTAGTAACACTAATATTTCCGATTCATAATGCAACCGGGATTAATGCTTTTTTCTGGCCGAATCAAAGCCCCTGTTTTCTACTAGTGTGAGTTCATCCAGAGAAAACGGGTTGAGGTGCATGAGAGGTGCAACTATTTTGGTACACCATCCTTTTTTTACATCTTCAATAAGCATCATCTATTGAAGTTGAACTTTAACATCATCAAGATACATCATCTGTTGGAGTTACTTGTTTTTAGATGTAAAATACACCTTTTGATGATGTAAATTATAAATCTAGTTTTAGATCTCTAAATTTGTATCATCTATGTATATGCTCTCAGTCGAGTCGTCACTCATGGAAGGTGAGCCCTGAGGCATGGAGCTTGTTGGCGATGATCTCGTCAAGGTGTTGCGCCATCTCCGACGTCGTGTGATTCTTTTTTTTGAACGTTGACAGTAGAGCTGCCAAATTCATTGATCAGAAGAAGCGTTACAAGAACCCTCCGAGCAGGAAAGCACATCAAAAGGCTAGTGCAAAAAGAAAAGAAAGAAAAAAGGCCGGCACCACCACAAACTCAAGCTCCACCGACAAGCCATGTACACCATCGGGAACCATCGCTGGGCCTCCAAGAGGACGCCTCCAAGGAGGGAGTGATATCGAAGACAACACCGTCCCTCGATCTGGACTAGCCAAATCTTAGGTTTTCACCCGGAGACCATAAGCCATGAGGTACAAAGAGCAAAACGAGCTCCACAGCGGTACCTCCAAGGAGGAAGACGACACCCATAGGTGCCGTTACCGTCAGCACTGACCAGAACAGTGCAGGACTTTCATCCGAAGCCGAGTCTTCCACCAACACACATGGATCCGAGGTCAACCAGAGCTGACGTGAAGAAAAAGGCCATGCACACACTACCAGGAACAGACTTGTCACCGCCGCACGCAGAAACTTGACGAACACGAGCCAACCTGGCTGGGCCGCCCCGCCGCGTGCAGGCCTGGGCGCCAAACCAGATCCGGCCATCCTCAGCCTCCATGTGCAGATCTGGGCGAGGAACCGCACCGCAGTGCACAGGAAGAGCCGAGTTAGAACCGGAGCTGGCCGGCAGCACCGCCGCGCGCCGTGATTGGACGGACACCAAAACAAACTGACTGCGTCCGCACCGCCGCGCGCAAGGACAAGACCAGCTGAGCCGGAATTGGTGTGCTTGAGAACCTCCTCTGCGCTACAGCCGCTGTACGGCGCCGCTACTCCAGGAGATGGGCGTGAACATGCTTGAAGGAGAGCCCACCCGCATCCGCCGACCCCCACCGCACCGCCACCACCAACTCAACCCGGGCAACGAGATCCAGCGACTGTCACAATCGCAGCGAGGCAGGCACCTCCGCAGGACGCGCGAAACGCGCCAGATCTGCGAAGGGACTGCCCCGGCCACCCCGAAGCACCCACGCGCCTGAGCTCGCATCCTGGCGCCCGCACTGCATGCCGCGCCCCCCGCGCCCACACCAGCACGCCACGCCCCCGC